AGTGAGTATGCAGGGTGTCAGTAAGCAGTACGCTCAGTCAGTCAGTGTGCAGGGTGCCAGTAAGCAGTGTGCGGGTCCTAGTAAGCAATGTGTTGAGTCACTGAGCAGGGCATCCCTGTGTCTTGATGTTGTGTGGGGACACTCACTGTGCGACGATGAGACTGCGGCGCTCCGTGTTGGTATAGGTCTGCAGTAAGGGGATTCCCTGCACCCTCACGTCCTCCAGCTTGGGAAAGAAGTTCAGCTTCTCAATGTCCTCCCATGTGCTCAGACCTAACAACACAAACAGCAAAGCACAGGCTCCTTTGAAGAAAGACAGAATCACTGTCCACTGTGTGTCTTTTGTCATCAGGAAATGCCACAGTTCTTCCTTTCCGCTTTGAGTCTCTCCCCCGTCAAGAATGTGCCATTCTCTGGGTTCAGCCACACTGAAGTCATGACACTGCCTGGTTAAAACACTTCATACTGAAAATACTGAACATCGCATTTACACTGGATTTTGAAACCACTGCAACCTCACACAGAAATAACCAAGTTCAGACAGAAATATGTGAATAGGTTCTGTTTAAGTCCCCTGTGTGAAAGAGAATTTAATCTTTATGGGATCAGTATGTTAAATAAAGGTGAACTAAAAGCTTATAAAAGGCTCCTATGTGTACAGTCTTACATCACTCCAAGAACACTGGCCTACATAGAGAACAGTGTCTCACAGACGGAACGTCACGTTGGACCTCACTGGGAGATCCACTGTCCCTTATCCAACCGGAACATGTCCTCCTTGCTTTATCAGTTACCAGCTCAGCTGAGGTGGAGCTTTATTGAGTAGTTAAGTTCCCCCAGGGACTGCATTGCAGCTTAATGGACAGATTAAAAAGAAAAAAAAAAACAGTACAAAACACTGTTCTCAGCTAAGGCTGGATATAGTGTTTCAACAAAGTCTCCCATTATTGTGCAGCAGGAAAGGAAATCAGGAGCCAAAATTGCTGCAATTTCAGCAATCAGGTCACTTTTTGCTGCAGAACAATGTAATGGCAGGTATTTGATATTGGCAACAATCGTTTCAGACAAATCTAAGCACTCTGGATCAGTGCAGTTACAGGAAAGCAGGTTGTGCTTATACAGCTCAGGACACTGCTTACAGCTTGGGAGCCTACGGCCTCTGAAACTAGACTTTAAAAAACAGAATTTGATGTATTTCACAATATATAATCCATCCATCCATTTTCCAACTGCTTTTGTCTTTGAGCACTTGGAGGAAACGCACAAGAACACAGGGAGAACATATAAACATCATTCAGTCAGCATCCGAGGGTGCGAACCCAGGGCTCCAATGCTGCAAGACAGCAAAGCTAAACCACTACGTCACCATGCCAGTAACAATTATAAATAAAATCAAGAAAGCTTCGCTTCTGACTTTCCTTCCCCTGGGAAACCAAGCCATTTCTCACAACTTCAGTGTGGCCCAGCTCACATGTCACAGAACACACTCCTTTCACAGCCCGATTTCTGCACAGGGGGGTAGGTGCAAAAACAGCAATCCTATCTGCTCTCAGATTGGCAAGAGTACATAATTAGTAGGTAGACATACAGTAGGAAGAGGGCACGACAGGTCTCAGGCCCAGAGCATGGCCAGTGGAGCCGATACCTGAATTGTGCAAGTTGATAGACCGCAGGCTGGGGAAAAGTCTGCGCAGTGTGTCGCCCGAGTCCTCAATGGAGGCAAGGTTGTTGTTCGCCAAGATCAGGCTTTCCAGGCCGGGGAAGAGCACCCCAAACTTGCGCACCTCACTCCAGTCCTGCAGGTTGTTGTCGGTGATGTGCAGCAGGCGCAGCGAGGGGCAGGGCGCCGTGGAGGGCGACACCGTGTCGTACTCGTTAAGGCACAGGAAGAGCTGCTCCAGCCTGCAGGCACACACACAGGCTCATCGTTACCATCCCCACCTCTGCTGACACCTAAAACTTACTCTTAAAGGTGGACCGCCCTTTAATTAGTGTGAGGGGATTATATCTCCAACAACATGCCGCCAATGGTCTTATATAATCAATAAATAATGTAACAACCTATTTAAAGTACCTGTAATAACTTTCCCATTGTTTTTAGATGTTGTTACTTAAAGTTTTCAAGTAACTGTTCATCATTTATTTATTTATTTTCTACATGATTGTATTTTTTTACTGTACTTGCATTTGTGCGTCTGATTTACGTACTGTGCCTTGAGGATGCTCTGGGGTGAAAGGCGCTATATGAGAACTGAATTGGATGGCACGGCGGCAGCAAGCACATGGGTCTTACTCAGGGATCTCCCCAGTGAAGGTGTGCACCGTGTCCCAGGAGACACGCGTGTTGTTGAGGACGAGCCGCCGCACCCTGCTGAAAGTCTCGGCACAGCTGCGCTCCAGCACCGCCTCACTCAGCGGGTTGGAACTCAGGTTCAGGAAGTCCAGGTGGGGGATGTTCGATACAATCTTGCTGATCTGCAACACAGAACCAGGAGCCAGACTGTAAGCACAAGAGCCATTGGATCTACAACCTGAACAGAGGTCTTCGTTGCTGAAATAGCACGGCATAAATATACTGGATTTGTGTAGGAATTTCCACATGCAGTGCCGCAGGTCAGCAGATCCACTGTGTGAGTGTTGAGCTTCGTGCACGACTGTACTGGACTGGGGCTTGTATTGCAATCCTCTGTATGCTACACTATTACACTGCACTGTACACTATTCAACATTACAGCAGGACTCCGACCTCCTGCCAGTCCTGCAGCTTGTTGTCAGACAGGTCCAGCTCCACCACATGGGCGCAGAAGGCTGCAATCTCACTCTCGTCCCCAGCACTGCTGATCCCACAGCCATTCAGCACCAGCACGCTGGGCAGGTTCAGCCGGTCTGGAGAGGGTTTAGGGGGTGGGTTGGGAGGAGAACACAAACCAAGTCACTCACTAGCACCCGGATGATATCACAGCTGCCCCCGTCTGCCCATCACATAGTCATACAAATCCAAGATATGACACTGTCTTTCGGATCCTGCTTTTATACAATGGTAACCCCCATTCAGGACTGGTTTAGGAGACTCACTGGAAGATCCAAGCTCTGATATAATCTGGTCTAAGAGGCTGAATGACCTCCTCTTGGTCAAAACCTTTCTTATGTTATGTTCCTAAGGTGCATAGTCATCATTTGTGTATTTCTCTCCAAAATAATAATATACAGAATTTTAATGAATGAACAGAGGAGCTCCTCCATAGGGGCCGCAATCCAGCTGAACTCTGTGCCGGTCCCAAGCCCGGAAAGAGGAGGAGAGTTGACCGGCAGAGTGCACATGCTGCCAGTCTTAAAAACAAAAACGGGACTGAAATCTAATGCAATGTCAATGGAAACAAAAAGAGATACACCAGCCATGCAGCCAAGGATCGATGGTTGTGGAGGGGAATAATGGACACTGCATTGGACGCCAACGGAGTTCATCTCTATGGACAGTGATGATGATGATGATGATGATGATGATGATGATGATGAAGAATGAACAAAGGTGGAGAACACACTTCAAAATGCATTTAAGTTTGACCAGCAGTCAGCCTAAGACAAGTTCTAGCTATATTCTATCCTGAAGAGACAAGACACAATAGTTATTCTTCTCCAAAGACAAACCAATAAAACAAACCAAACAAACCCAATTAAACCTGGTTTGTATCGGCTAAGGTTAATTACACTCATTACAGAAGTACTGAACCTGTATGGAGTCTAGCAGTGTTTTTAATCAGTGTGCAGGGTATCAGTAAAGGAGAGGTTGATTAGTAAGAAAGGTGTGGTTGTGAGAAAAGGTTTGTGAACCTTTTGGAATGATCTGTATTCCTGCATTAATTGCTCCTAAAGTGTTCAGGTGTTCATCTAAGTCATAATAATAGAAAAATACAATCTGATTAAACATCACACAAACAATTGTACTTTTTATTGTCTATACTGGACACGTTGTTTAAACACTCACTGTCTATGCTGCAAAAAGTATGTAAATATCTAGGATAATTACATCTATTGAAGAGAGTAATTGGAGTTCCAATCAATGAGATGACATTCAGGAGTGAGTTTTGCCCTGCCCTAAACCCCCCCACCAACAAAGTCTGTTTACCAACTGCACAACAGAGATTTGTCAAAGTGAAACATGCCCGAATCAAAAGATGTTTCAGAGAACTTCAGAAGAGTTGTTGGTGCTCATAAGGCTGGAAAGGGTTACAAAAGCATTGCTAAAGACGGGTTCTTTGAGTTGTCGTGCAACTAAAAAAGGACTGCAAGAGCAAGCCAAACAACACTCAAGGAGCTAACAGTCTGCAACCATAAGGCCTGCAGGTGTCTCTTGTACTGGCTAATGTCTGTGTTCATGAGTATACAGTAGGAAAAACACTGAACAAGAGTTGTGTGCAGGGGAGGAGACCACAGAGGAAACCACTGCGCTCCAAAACAAAACATTGCTGCCCCTTTCAACTTTGCCAAAGACCACCTGGACGATCCACAACGCTACTGACACAAAGTTACGTGAACAAATGAGACAAAAGTGGAACTTAATTATGCAACAGTATGTTTGGAGGAAACAAAACACTGCATACCAACACAAAAAACCTCCTCCCAAATGTGAAGCATGGTGGAGGGAGCATCATGGTTTGGGGCTGCCTCAGGGCCCGGACAGCTTGCACTCATTGAGGGAACAATGAATTCCAAATAGTATCTGCAAATTCTACAGGAGAACTTCAGAGTATCCCTCCGTGATCTGAAGCTTAATAGAAGTTGGGTTAGCATGACAACGATTCTAAAAACAGGAGTAAATCTACAACAGAATGGCTTACAACAGAAGTCCAACATTTTCGAATGGCCAGTTCAGAGTCCTGACTATAACCCTGTTGAAATGCTGTGGGATGACTTGAAGCAAGCCATTCACCCAAGACACCGCAAAAACATTCATCAATTGAGACAGTTCTGCGAAGAGGAATTGGCCGAAATACCGACCCAAACTGATGTGCGGGACTGATCAGCAGCTAGAGGAAACGTTTGGTTGAGGTCACTGCTGCTAAAGGAGGTTCCACCAGTTACTAAATGTAAAGGTTCACAAACTTTTTCAAGCACAAACTGTGAATGTTTAAATAAAATGTTCAGTATAGACATGAAAAGGTACAAATGTTTATGTGTTATTTGTTTAATCAGATTGCGTTTATGGACTATTATGACAGAGATAAAGATCACATTTTAGGAGTAATTACTGCAGGAATACATGTAATGTACATGTCACAAACTTTTTCTCACAACTGTAAAATCAGCATTTTCTTTTTCTTCTAAGAATTTAAAATATTTGATCAAAACTGGCCAGAATAAAAAGGACAAGTCATGAGTTCTAAACATGTGGCCAGCTCACGTTAAAAAAGGCAAGACATTTACAGTCCCACCAAAGAATTCTCACCAGCCCGTATGAGATATAAAAATATTAGAATAACTTTGTGCATTTAATTGGAGTGTTTTTCTGCCAAAATGATCCCACAGCACGTCACAAAGAGGAGACCCACTTCATACACTGCAAAAGTCTAGCACCTACCTGGGAAACATAGCAGATCACAGGAAGAGCGAGAAACTATTCACCCGTTGCATTAGGGGGGAAGTTATGGTTAGATTGCACTAGTGTGGCACCTAGATAGACACGGACTCCTTCTGCTCTTACCTTTCATGGGTGAGCCCTGTGGCCCAGCAGGCACCACCACGCCCATGCCTGGCCCGCGGCGGTAGGGGAAGTTTTCGGGGCTGTACTTTTCACTGATCACCTGCATGAAGGTGCGCCCCTCCGCCTGCTCCATTGCCCCGTCCCACAAGACCTCCCCGTCTGCAGGGCCGCAGCGGCAAAAGAGCCAGACACTCATAGAGGTTAGGCAGGGTGGGCTGTCTGAGACGATACACACAGGCTGTCACATTAGCTCGCACTGGAATAAGACGTCTCCCGCCACCACCCCTCCTACTGCTGCAGGCCTGCTCACCCCGCCCCCCCCTTTAGCAGAAAGGTAATAATACAGTGAGAACACAGTTAAGACCTCAGTCAGCCCTTGGAGTACTGCCTGGAGCAAACGCCTACAAACAGAGGACCCTCATGGCCTCTCCTCACCTGAAGCTGCAGTTGCGTGCTTCTCAGGTCCACTATCACAGCTCTTCTGTAGTGTCTGCACGCACAGGAATGAACAGGAAGGCAAGTTAGTCTCTGTGTAAGGCTTTACAACTCTGGCTAGTAAGACTCCAGAGGTCTCCTGGTTCAGGTTTCTTAAGTGATTCCTTGTGAATCAATTTACTGTAAAAAGGGAGGTAAACACCGCTCCTCTGCTACACTAAATACATTGTTTCCATAAGTGGTTACACTCTCTTCCAGGAGTACAGCTTCAGTGATGGTTTTAAAACAACCAGGGTAACCCAATACCACAGATGACTGTACCGTGGACCCAATGCTACACAGTTTCCAAAAATAATTTTACTGCGGTCAAATTACATGAATCTACAGCATTTCTGCAAACACTTTTCAAACTCAAGTGAACGTGGGTGTATTCTTACCCTATCAGTAAGAGGCACAGAAAGGCAACAACCTCTGTCCCCTGGACACTTGTCCCCTTCCTTGGGTAGGTATGTCAGAGATTAAGAAAGACAGCAAAGAGCAAGGCGCAGATATAGTGAAGGATACAAGGGACAGCAGGAGACCAGGTCACCACTGTAGAGGACAGAAAGAGAAACTACAGTGCTTATGATCATAAGCGATCAATTTACATACCAGTGGTGATGTCACAAGACATCACATCTTGCCTGCATTGTGATATCATTGTGTCTGAGCAGCACTAGCCTATGACAGAGAAACAAGGAGTTCACTGGGGTCTCACACAAGACTCCCACTGGGCTCAGTGTAGGAAAGTGAGACTGAAGAGCTCATGGCAATTCAGTCCTGGTTCTTCTGCACGCATGTCTTGCATGCTTCTGTTGAAATGAGTAAAACATTTCCTTTCACAATTCTTTCTTTCTGAGAAGGCAAATCAACAATTTATTTTTGACACTACTCAAAAAATGGTTTCCTTTTTTTATAACAAACCCAATTTAACATGCAAGAGCATTTTTAGACCCAGTGTCATTGATTAAACTTTATATGACAATTTTATGAACTGTGTACTACGCTGTGTGTGAATAAGAACCATAGTTTGAGCCAGATTACTAACTTCCTTATTACCCACCAAGATGTTAATTTGCTTCATGTCAAAGGTGAAACTAAAGAAGCCTCACTAATGAAGGTTTACAGTGGTATCTTTACATTTACTATGGTTTCCTCACAATTCCAGCATGAACATCCTCTGCTTTGTAAGGATGTGTTTTCACTGTTGATCTCACAGCTCCTCCCTCTACCCTCACCATGTCACAGCACCACAAAACTTTATACAGGCTGACAACACGTCACCCTTGACATTTTCATCAGTAGGGATGACAGTTTCTCCTACCTTGATTCTTTGCTTTGTCTGATCCAGCTTTCCAGAGCTCTTAACAGGTCAGGGCAGTTTTACTGTCAGGACAGAGCGGCAGCTGTGGACAGGAAACAGACTTTGACATCAAAAGTATTTTCACAGAAGCATGTTTGTTTTTTATAGGTCCGTTCTCTTTCATTTAAGACACAGGTTCAATCTCGTTCACCATTAGAACACAAGAAAATGAGACAAAATCAATTGCCTTTTGCTTTACACTGCTTCTCTTTATTACCCTGTCACCAAAGCATCCTTTCTTTGCGATTTACAGCCCATTTTTAGACAGTTCTTTGCTATGTTTTTTCTAACTATTCCAGCAAAAATAATTGCTGTGAAGCTGTGCATTGAAGATAAAGAAATGCTGATATCAAACCCAATCTCCAAGGCGGTCCACCCCAGATCACGTTTTTGCTGCAACAGCTGAGAGGGTGTGACTAAAAGCAGTTCAATAAGACGGAAGAGCAACGGGGAGCATGCAGCATGTGGCCAAGGCAGACTAACAGGAGAGAGTGCACACACTACAGAGCCCAGCACACTTCGTCCTGAGAATCAGTCTTGAACTGTCTTGTTCAGCCACTGGTCCTGCGCATCCTGATCAAACGACTAAGAGAAGACAAATAATAAAAAACTAAAAAAAAAAAATACATCTACAAAATTTCACTTCATCTACGCTCTTAGATTTTCATTTCTCAAAATTATAAAAATGAGCAAAAAAACCCCACAAAGGAACAGTACGATTTCTGCCGGCATAGGTGTATCAATTGTCAATTCTCTGCAGCTCTGGCAGGACCCCTCTCTATGTTCACTGAAGGCTGCCCTCTGTGAGAGTCAGCCAGCGCAGTGAGGCCGTGCTGACAGGGACTGGTGAGAGAGGCTGCTGTCAGGCCCAATAGCCCTTACAGGTGGCACTGTAAAGACAGCTCCCTCTGATCCTCCTCTCCACACTCAGCTCACGTTGACTTCACTTCTGATTTCTGGCCAACGAACACCCGAAACTAAGACCCACTGTCAACGAGCGATAACAAGCTCCATTCACTCTTGAAAGAACAGCAAGCAAAGCTGCACACATCCAACCGTCTCTTCCCAGGGGAATCAGTGGAGAGCAGATTGACAGGGTATGAGGGAGCCAGAGAAGAGCCATGGGGGTTTGCTTGATAGACACAAATATTAGCAGGACTAAAATTTGGGGAAAAAAAAACATTATTCAGCTACATATTATTAACAGTATTGCTTCTAAATTACTTCTTGCTTTAGTCAAATTAGTCTGTACTTATCCGTCTTTAAAATGATAATTTATATAATATTGTAACACCCTGTCGTTCAATGCTCCCACCACCCTTTGTGTAAAGATGTGCCTCCATTACTCAACTCTGAACGCACTTCCACGTAGTTTCCAATTATGCCCTCTAGTTTGGGTTACACTGTAAATCGTAAACCTAAACCGTGCCTTTGTCAATGCCTTTGAGGATTCTGAACTTCTTAATTAGGTCCCCTCATGCACGTAACAGCAAACATATCTTTTCCCAAAACCTTTTAAGCTGGATCAACTTCCAGCTATTTATTTGTAAATCTGATAGAACCAAAAGAGGGCTTCCTAACAAACTGTTGCCATGACAACTGAGTTGGTATACCATTGGGCACTACTGGTTGTTAAGGAAACTTGAGGTGGAGGGACTGGATTCAAACTTTGAAGTAAAAAGGAGAAAAGGCTCACCCTTACTGACATACTCCAACAGAAATGCACTAGGAGTGCAACAGGAGTTCATGTAGCAATAATCATCCAAATTTGGACTTGATCATTTGTCTCTAATCCACTCCACTCAGCAAGTGGCATGTTTGTAAATATAAAATTCGAATTCGTTTTCAGAATGATGCATACCTTCTGTGTGAATTTATTTTTGCAGCTATCGACTGCACACAAAACTAAAGCATTAGAAAGTGTATCCCTTCAATCTTCTTTGTAATGTATCTGCAAGATTGGCCCATGTATTTGATACATATTGTGTGAAATTTGTATATATAGTAAGTAGCCCTGGATGAGCAGAAAAAATATAAAAATAATACTTTATGAATACAGAAGCAGGAGTTTCTGTTAGATGTGACCTATGACTTCACTCCCTGAACACAAAAACTCCCAGAACAATATAACTGACGGTTAGGAAGGGTTTAACCAGAATTTCCCCATTTTTCAGTTTTTCCTGTCATCCCAGGTCATCCTGTTTGGTCTGATATGCAAACATCCCTAAAACAACAGAAGCCATTCTGGGACAGTCCTGTGGAGCTCTGTATCCCCTCCTTGATCGTTTCAAGATGAGCGGCACGGCTGGCTCCTCTTCATTAGTGTGATTTACTCGGAGACGTCACCTTGACCCGCAGTCATGATTGGGCCAGCGGAAGACAGCCGCACACTGCTCACAGACGTGGCCCATAGAGGGCGCACAAAACCTGCGCTACGATGGAGTCGCTTCAGAATGTGCTGTTCTCGAATTTGACGAAACTCCTGGCACCTGTCTGAGCTCTTGCGAGTGAAGGCGGTGCTGATCCAGTGCACTAATGTTTATGCGACGTAGATAACGGTAAATATGCGTCTTTATGAAACTTTGTTTCACTACTGTACTCAGTTTTTGGAGAAAATCAGAATACACACATCAAAGCCCTGTCTCGATTATGATCAATGATGATCTCCGACTTACAGTAACAAGATGATATACTGTGAAACAGTGTGTTCGGATGGGGTGCATTAATCGGAATATATTGTTTTAGGTATTTACTGTACCCTTCTACAATCTTTCCCATTGGTTTACATATCTGAATTTGAAGAGGACAGAAAGACACGACTTTTTTCATTTGTAATAGTGATTCAATCCTCTTTCGCCTAACTGGGCGCAATGTGAGAGTGCAGCTCTGTCCGGTCGTCAAGCACGAAGCTCGGTTTGCTCTTGCCCGGACAGGTATTTGAATGGCCTTACTGTACTGCACTTTTACACAACAGCCTGCTCTATTCGAGAGAATTTACCCTTCCTTCAAACGCGCAGACGTCTTCATCGGTGTTCCCTTCCTGCAAAGTGATTTGGAAGTGCGAGTTCTTCCCGAAGTCGACAGAAAATACCTTCTCTCGCAGTGAATTTGGCGAGGCGTTTCAAGACGGGGGTCGCTTTGATGCTTGTTAGCTTTCGGTTTGCGCGTACAGTAACGCGGTGAGAAGGTAACTTATTTGACCCAAGGAGCTCCTCAATACAGCTCAGCTCCGGCTCAGGGACATTAGGCTCCAGAAGAAGACCGAGCGCCCGATTTGTTCATGATTCCAGCTAGTTCACCTGCAAGGTGCGAGCTGCTGCTTCGGACAGCCGTGCAGGTGAAGACATCACCCCCACTGTAAGACGCATCCGCAGACAACACAATGACCCCTGCGCCGCCTGCCCCAGCGAACGACAGCTCTCTCGCAGCCCGCAGGCCGGCGGGGTCACCCTGCCAGCCCCCCGCCACCTGTCCCGGGGCCCGCTCGCAGCGAAAGGATTGCCGTCGTCATGCCCCCCCCAAAATACAGCTTTTATCAGCCACTCACCCCCCTTCCTCTCGCGCTCTGGGGTTCTTGTTGTTGTTGCTCCAGCTGTCACAACAACCCCCCTCATTCCGGCAGTGACGCAGCACACAGAAACACTGTAACCGCACACTGCAGAGCAGGGGGAGGGCGCCGGGCCTCCGAGGGCGGCCTCTCCGGGTGCCTATTGGGCAAACCTGACGTCACTCAACTGCCCATCAGTGGCGTTTGACGCCGCTCACGCTGCAATTGGGCGATCGCGTGCATCTCTTTATGAGCAATTTACGACGAGGCATGATGAGGTTTCGGGGTTCGGGTACGATTGACTCCTGTTTTTTCACGTCTCCGTGAGGATGGGATCCTCGCCTGCCGCCCCCTAGCAGTGCTGTGCTCGGATAACGACCCGGTCTCAGAGTCTGGTGTTTTTGTATTTTGGGGGGTTAGACCTTGCGCTGAAATCACCCAATCGCCGCTCGGCACCGGGTAAACAGCGCTCTTGGACGTCGCCTCCAGCACTGCCGGGTACGTATAGCACAGGTTTTCTTTTGAATAAAGATCACGGTGTCCTTAGACGGCACGAGTTTAAAAAATGCACATATTATTTCACAATCCTGTACCGGTCGCTTCACGCACACCTTGATAATGTGACCGGTGTGGCCTTGAACCTGGAAACTGCTCAAACAAAAGAGCAGAAGTTGGGGGGAAAAATACAAAAACACACCGGTGCTGCATAACAGGAATAAACGGCTACTCTCCACTTGTCAAATAACACTCAAGTTTGCTAAAACCAAGTTGTGTGACAAAATAACCAATCTTATCAAACCCGGTATGAAAATCAATAATAACAAAAAATCAAAGGGCTGTTTCCAAGTTCGAACTCTCACAATAGGTCAACTAGAAATACAAATGAGAATGAAGACGAGATGTATTTGAATAAATCAAACTTTTGATATTAAAACAGAGTTCTTATTTTTCCCGGTATCCCTGAAGCCGCGCAGTGCCGCCTGTGGATTTTATACGCGGAAAAGTTTCGATTCACTTCTTTTTTAGGTGCAACAGAAGTAGAATTTCCTCTGACAATTTAGCTCATGTCAAAAACACGAAACCCGTTGACGTTCGCAAAGAACTAGTCATTCATTCTGGCAAAACATTTCCCTTGATTCGTGAATTACAACTCATCGCCCGAATTCTACTTACAAGCAGTGACTGTTACACAAAATAATGTTTTAGGCACTCGGAGTAAGAGAAACCAACAGACTCATTCGCGTCGGTTTGCCGCTGACCACGACACGGACACTGGCGTGGACACTGCGACCCGAGACTGCAGAACACATCCTTAGAAACTGGGAAGTTTCAACGTGACGTCATTTGTAAAATCCCGTTTAACACGTTTGTCACAGGTGGTTCGAGACAAATCAACATCCTAGATTGTTTTAAAATCACATTATATTGCTTTTAACTACAGCAAGACAGAGATAGAAGTGTTGGCGGTCCGAAAATAATTTCACAACCCTTAGTGGTGGATTGGACCCTGCTTGCACTCTCCGGCTGATTGGCAGGGAGCTCTCTACCTGCCGGCTGCTCACCTGAGGGATGGCACGGTTCGGCAGCCCGGTTCGGTCGGCTGCTCCTCTCGCTGGTGCAGAAGTCGTGCCTCAGAGTATCGGACAGACGCCACCTGCTATTTACCAGCTGTCCAGTGCAAAATCCCTAAAATACTCTGCAGGATGGGCGAATTGCCCCATTGATGAACTAACGTCACCGAGGAATTTGTCGCGGGGGGGCAAAGCCCAGTACATGACGAGTTGTTACCCGCGGAAAGAGTGGCTGTGGCGCGCGGTCCCACAGCTGAACAGCGTTTCTGCCGCCGCGGGCGTCTTGAATTTAAAGACTTTTCAAGACAGGACTTACAGGACAGTCGTACAGGACTTCCGTACTGGGCCTCTCGTCAGTCGAGCCAGCCGGACACAAATACTGACACGGACAGTTTCTCGCGATCACACAATACATTATGACTTTCAGGAACCAGCACCATTTTCAGATCAGCCTTCCCTTGCTGCCGCAGGGCGAAGTCTATACTTTTAATACGGGGTTCACAGTCTTTATTTTGTTTTATTGCCCTTTCTGTAGGGTGTAATTCCCCCCATCCTGTAAAATAAAGTCCCGTCCCCCCCGTAAATTAAAAAGTAATCGCCAAATTCCTTACTTATTATTATGAAGGTATAATAAAAGCAGAATATGAAAAAATAAATGAGGACTAGAAGTCGACTATGGCTTTATTCCGTTGTACAATCTTGATATCTGATGCTGTGGCTAAGGATCTGCGCCTGTGGCTGGAAGGCTGCCGGGTCGTATCCCGCGGCCGGGAGAGGAATCCTACGTCTAGCCGGCGTTGGGCCCCTGAGCAAGGCCCTTAACCCCAACTGCTCCAGGGGCGCCGTATAAATGGCTGACCCTGCGCTCTGACCCCCAAGCTTCTCTCTCTGTCTGTGTCTGTGTGTCTCAAGGAGAGCAAGCTGGGGTATGCGAAAAGACGGATTCTTAATACAATAAATTGTATACGGCCAATAAAGTAATCTTATCTCTTATCCTCTAAGAGGACCTGACGGACGCGTTCACAAATTCGGATTGCTATTCCACGGTGTGGCCAGTGGAGGCTGCTGTTGCCCAAATAATTTGCTAATAGTCTTCCAGTCTCCCAACAAAACACAACAGTAATTACAATCTGATGAAACAAACTATAAATTGATAAGCGAGTCAGAGCCCAAGAACAGTGTTCCCTTAGAACGGTGCTCCTTCTTTTTTTAGTGGATATCCCGCATTTAAAACCTGACAGATTCTGATCACCTGACCTGGTTTAAGCCCCGAAGGAACTGAAGGAGAATACATTTTCTTTCACCAAATCGGTTTGAACCAAGAGAGTAGAATCTCTAGAAGAATAACGTGCGTGTTAAAGCAGTGAAGCAGCTAGATATAACCCAGTTCTGAGTTTTTATTCACAGTCGTGTTGAGCGGGCACCAGCCGGCGGGTTTTGGACTTCCCCCTAGTCATGGTGGACACCTGCTGGCATTATTCACACTGTCATTCACATGTACTAAAATGAACAAGGCCGAGGAGCATCAGACTCTTGTGGTTTTCCCCACAGACCAAACCTCCTGAATCTCCTGCATCTTTACCTGAAATAATGTCTGGTAGTGGATGACACAGTGAAAAGCATTGCTGCTTTACAGTTCTGGGGCTCTTGGTTCAATTCTATCTGCATGGAGTTTGTATTTTTCCTCTTGGTGTTCTGGTGTCCTCCCACAGTCCAAAGTTATACTGGTAGGTTAATTGCAAAATTGTAAAAATTGACCCTGGTCTCTCTGTGTCTTTCTGTTTGCCCTATGATGGACTGGGATCCCATCCAGGTGGTACCTTGCCTTGCGCCTGTTGCTTGCCGGTTTAGGCTCAGCTCCCCCAGGACCCTGTATTGGATGAAGTGGTTAGAAAAATGGATGGATGGATATTACTAACCAGGGGTCACAGAAAACACTGGTTTAAGGCATTAAAAATGTACTTCTTGCCTTTTCCTTTATCCTAAATGTTCCCCTCATGTAGCGTATCAACCTTTATCTGTGTATGCGACTGAAGTGCTTTATGGTGCAACTTAAAATCATGCTCCTGATATCAACCAGGAACGCTTAATCTCCACCGGTGAGGAAGCTCAGTTTTGATTCGATTCCAGTTCTATTGGGAGTCTCCAACACAGGACACAGGAACACAGAAAACCAAGATGAGTACACCCTGCCCATCCTGCCCATTTGGAAGTTATCTGATAGTTGATCAGGTGATCTTATCCAGCTGTTCCTGGAAAAAAAAAGCTGGGATATCGCTTCAACCACATGATTGGGCAGCTGGTTTCACACTCCTACAACCACGTGCGTAAAGAAGTGCCTCCTGTTTTCAGTTCTTTCCGTTTTACTGTTCTTTTTGGGTAGGAAGGAACAGCGTTTGCTTTTACAGCACTCAGCACATACAGGCTTTGGTCAGAGGGGAGCTTGCCTCTTGCCTACCACAGAGCACCATGACAGGACCCTGCAGATACAGGACATCTTTAACAAGTATTGTTTTTTACATTTTACCCATCAAATACAAGGAGACAGTGATTGTGCTTTTGCCTTTTATTTACATTCTCAATAAATTATAGTTATTCACTTTCAGTCTCACTCATGTCAAACCACACACTCGGGATATATTTGCAGGTGACATAACCGTAACAACAGCCACTCAAGCTGGTCTTCCTCCTGACCAGAAAACATCACCCGCCACAATCACAAGCATTCTAGCTGTGGAGAGCTCCATGAAGCCATTCAAAACAGGAGTCATACTCTTCCCAGACTCCTGTGGGAGGGAAAAGAGCGGTGCCTAGGTGGCAGATAAAGTCATTTTTGTCCCATGGCATAAGGATGGCAGCCCAGGCAGATCTGTCAGTGTGGCATGGAGCACTATGAATGCAGAGTCATTTCAGCACAGCATGCATGTCTCCAGTCAGAACCATCTGCCCTTGTCTTGATAAAGGAAAACGGAAAGAAGCTTTCTGAAAGTTTACTGCAGTAAATCAGCAGGTAAGTGAAGAAGGGAACGTGGATGATAGATGTTTAATAGTTTTATATAGTGAAACAGGGACAAAGCAAAATGGAAGTAATCGTCTTAGTTGAATCCAACAGCAGTAAACCTTCAGGTGGTTCACAGCACCACAGAGCTGATGAGACAACATGACTGTGCAATGGCAGCTTCTTCACAGTGCAAACCTCATCATATAGGTTATTGTAGGGTTGAGGAAGGCAACAAAACAGGTGCTGGACTCTGAGCATGCTGCCCTTCCTAATTCCCCAGAGCCCACTGGGTGTGCATATTTAGGTCAGATGTCTTCAACCCTGGTCCTGAAGAGCTACCATTTCTTGATATCTACATTGCAGATGAAGAGTCCCCAGACTTCTCCACCTAAAAAAGTACTGACCTGATTCATCAATAGTCATTTTAGCAGCTTACAGACCCCAACAGAGCCCGAGGCATTGGGGATCCCCCCAGAACTGGGCTAGACATCTGGATTTGTATCATGGAGGGAGAGTGGATTTGCCATGCTACGTTGTAGAAAGCCACTGATGACCCTTTTAATTAAAACTGGCAAGTGTCATTATCAGAAAGCCTTTACAGTCCCCCACTCTCAGCATAGTCTGTTTAGAGAGCCAGCACCTCAGCCTGCACTGTCACACTATTCCCAGCATGCTCCATCAGTTTTGAACAGTACATTAATTCATGATTTCTAAAGCACAACAGAAACCTTCAGAGACTTGATTCTTTGAGCATTTTGCCACGATTGCATGCCATTATATCTGACTGCAGTGACAAAAAAACTGAAAGACTTTTACATAAATAAAATTAAAGAAGACATGAATTTGGACGGGGTAACTCTAGCTGTATGACAGACTTAGAACACAGAGCTGTCATTTCAAAGGCATCTACGGCATGTGTACAGAAGTGAGTCTGTAGGCTTTTGTGCTGAGACAATGTTTACTGGGCTGCCATCGACTGATGCAACTGGAGAACCAGGGTGCCAGGCACAGCCACGCAGAAAGAGTCCATTGTCAGTGCAAGGAAGGATCATGCTTTCATGTGTGGCACTGACAGCCTGCAGACATACACACACAGCGTCAGAGCATCAGCGCCACTCATCCAGATCCACAGTACGTTCTCTAAATGTGCAAAGAAGTGAAAAAAATGGCGATGTCGTTTAGCATCCAAAGCTGCGGATTCCTGGATTTATGGAGCAGTTTTCCACAGAGCATCACGGCCCTGTCCCAGCGTGCACGCCTGTTGCAGAAGTGGCCCGTCTGCCCCAGCAGGGAGACCACAGGGAAAGGCTGTAAGGTCACTCCCTCTCCTTGAACCTCTGCTTTCACCATGCTGGGGTGTTGAGCTTCAGCAGAACAGTTTTATACATCACAGGTGCAACAAAGACAGGTGTCGTCCCCTCGCCCACAACAAGAGTAAACATGAGAGACCTGCAGTGAGCACCACTGGTGCTGTTAAAAATCTCTTCCACACACTACACAAATCACACAAATGAGAGAAATAATCCAGTTTCAGCATCATTGATTGGTATATTGCCTTATTATATAAAATATATGTACACAGTCTTTTAAAACATTCCTTCCATGTTGTACAATGTTATTAAAACAATGGAAACCAAAGGCGAAATGTTCACACTTCAGTACCCTTTAGTTCACAGCACTTAAAACAACCGATAGCAGCCACACTGAGAGAGTACAGCAGACAGGGCTTCACCTGAGTGAGAACAGAGTAGACAGGCCCTGTCCTCCCAGCCCTTCACACAGATCCGGATGCAGGGAGGGGGGATGCAAGACACTGGGAGAGAAAAGATCATCCTAGGCTGTTTTCAAAAAACCCCAGCTGAAGGCCTGGGGGACAGCTCACATACCACAGCTCCTTCCCAGAGGACTGGCCGCACTGCTGGCCGACGGAAGAGCAAAGTAAAACAAAACAATGAGAGAAAACAAAAGCGAAAGGAGTCCTTTAAGCAAAGGCGGTCTTGAGCAAGAAGGTAGGTGCAGTTCAGATGAGAGCTGTAGTTGCAATGCATAGAGTGGGAGCTCTGAGTGGGAGCCTTGGGGTTTTTATTGCCTGGCGGGGGCACCCCCAGCCTGAGCAGATAAACGGAGAGGGGTGAGGGTGCCGCCTGCTCTTCATGTCGCTCTGTCAGAGACCCCCAGGACGGATGTGGAAGTTGCCCCTCAGTGCCCATGACTGGTCTGTGTGGAAGATGCCCTCATCTGTTTTGGCAGTCCAAGAGGGCGTCACTCCATCTCTGCATCCCCAACTCCCCTTTCTCACCCTCCCCTGCCCCCCCTTGGGGCATCACATTCGGGAGGAGGTGGACAGCTCGTAGAACAGCACGTAGGCGTCGCTGGTGCGGACTTGGCCGGAGGACATTGGCGTTACTCTGTGTGACAAGAGAGGGAGGCTATGAGATTCTGATCGTGCACTGAAACCATGACACTGAAATACTGAGAGCCTACTGACCTGCCTTTCAAGAACCAATCCTTAAAAAAAAACCTCTGAGAAAAATAACTGTCTAGTCAGAGAGCACTGGAAATTGAGCCGACAAGGCACAGAGCAGGCAATCAGAGGATTATCCATCTACAGACACCCCCTTATTCTGCAAATGGTGTGAACAACAGTTGTGCAACAATCTTTTCCTTTAATCCATCAGGCATGTCACAAGGCACTCTGCATGAAAGCACGAGAGAGGTAATGGATACTTTGCAGACAGGCAGTGGGAGGGTACCTGGAGTCGTTGAAAGTGTGCCACTCCCCAGTGGAGGGATTGCGACAGTAGGCTGTGTAGTGGCCACCCATGGTGGTGCCAGAGTGATTGGAGACTGCATACAGGTTATAGACTGCATGGACTAGAAAGAAAGAGGAAGAAAGAGAGTTATCACTGCAGCACGGTCTCTTCATCGCTATTCAGAACAAAAACTGAGACACCCGCATGCACACAGACCGACAGCTGTGCACGCGAGCCGGTACTCACTGCTGTTTTCAGAGGCAAATTCTCGGAGGTCCAGGTCCTTCAGGGGGAAGCTGACAAATGTGGACAGCTTGCTGGTTCTGACGCGAGCTTCAGAGAACCGCTTCAGGTCTAGGCAGAGGGTTCAGTCAAGGATCTTGACTGCACAGGGATTCCTCTACTGCATGGTGATTACAGACTACCATCTCAACGCTTAGAAGAGCTGGAACTGTTTCAAGAGACTTAATTCCACGTTGCATAAACTTACAGTTAACAGCCACAGACAACCGAGAGTAGTCTGTTTGGCTTGTCTAGCCACAAATACATGGTAGTTAGCAGCCAACGGATCTTAGGATCTCATCCAGCCTTTCTTGAAGTAAGTGAAGAGTATCAGCATCAACAACGTGGCCAGGTAGCTTGTTTCACACACCCCCCACCCTTTCTGTAAAGACTCCCACAACTCAAGACAAAGGATACGAAGCACCAAGATCTTTGGGAATTTCTGAATGGTGAACTTTTTTGTGCACTTCCTTCTGGCTTTACACCTGTAACACGTCTGCAAAAGAAAAATAAGAAGTGACTCACAAAGCCCCCCACAGAGCTGGAAGGAATTATAGTGCCAGGCAATCTGGTTTTACAAAGTACTAGTCTTGCAAAACATCGCCCCTACCAAACATTTCTGCCATGCACATGTATGTCTATCTGCCTGCACAATGCAGCATCAGATCTGCTGTGTGCACCAGCCTGCTCATTCTCCTGCGTGTTCTCCATGACTGTGCATCAGAGGCTGTGCTAGCTCTCTGGCAGAGCAGAATTATGACACCATCTTAAACAGTGAGTGACTCTGCTGTTCTAGGCCAGGAACCTGTTCAGGGCCCACAAGTCTCTATCAATAAAGACAAAGCTTCATGTACACCACAGCCCTGCAGCTCTTTAGGGCCAGGCCCGCATGACTCTTCGACACAGTTTGGAGTCGATACTCACTGGCTTCTCATCTCCATCCAGGACGTCCTCCTTGGTGAACAGTCTCATGCAGTCCATCAGGCTCACCTCCCCATAACCTTTCTGTGTAGATGAGCACAGGACTGTTGTTACACAAAGACTGAAAGCTTCACAACACACGTTACTATGTATACCCTCTATGCAGGACAGGGTGTTTCAGCTACATGCATCAGCTACAATGTGTATAGTAAGGACAGTGATAGCAGCAGAATGGGCTTGGTAATCTGGAGAAGGTGCTGCAGCTGTGGGAGGGGTCAGAGGTGGAAACTGTCCTGTGTCAAGAGGGGTTGGGGCAAAGTAAAACGAGACTGACCTTGGCAATGGGCAGGGATAAGTCCCAGAAGGGGTCGAACACGGTGGAGCAGTAGCCACAGTCACTGCAGGTCAAAGAGCTCTTCAGCTGGCCCACAAACAGATCTGCACAGAAACACACAGGCCAGGCTCTGTCACTGCGGAGAGCTGCGTGCCCGAAATATGGCCCAGAGCGAACCATTTCACACTTTCACACGACTAGAATGACTGTCTTCTCATTTAACATGCCAGACAGGTACGATTGCCAACTATGATTTTGAAGTTAACAGTAAAATCTGTGCACAAACACATATATATATATATTAACTCCTCTTCTAAACAAAATAAAAAAACAATGAAAGCATGTACTTACCCACTATTCTACTATCTTCCCTCTCCAGGTATTTATTCCACATTCTTTTCCCTTTCTCGTCATCTCTGCTTAAGAGAAAAAACATGTTCATACACTGAGCTCCGACAGACTGGAACACCGCCCTGAGCTGGGGTTCACTGCTAACAATTCACACCCCGGCAGCAGGGGAATTATAGGATACTATTCAGAACACCTATGCCTACACACAGAGCACAGCTGTGTCCACCGATTGTGGTTCAGTGACAATCTTTGGGACTCTTGACAGTCCAACAAAGAGTGGATGAGCAGTTTACTCCAGCGTCAACAACTGGAACAATTGGAGGCCTGATCAGGCCAGATCTCAGGTACTGCCAAGACAGGGCCTGGTCACTCAGCACTGGCACTCAAGAGCTCTGAAGTCAATCAGGAGCTGGGAATGATGTTGTGTAAGCAGTATGCATGTCACTCTCTCTCTCTCTCTCTTTCCAAGCCTCATAATTTACTATGTAGGCAAAATCCACACCTGACACATTTAAGAGAGGTCTGTGTCTGCGAGACCTCATACTCACGGTAGATGGTCCAGATCCTCCATGGTGGCCCGGGGCCGGACCGTCACTCTGTTCACCTCATTGTGCAGCCCATCAAGCAGGAACCGGAGAAACTCCTGAGCATCCTGCTGGCTGGAACACATGGACAGAAACAGACTATAAGCGACCCAGCGCACCTACCGTACAGGATGCCACAGAAAGGAGAATGCTGGGATGATCTGTTTTTTCACTCAAATCCTTCCCACTAGGATTAGTTAATAATTCAATATTCCAGACCTTTTCTGATAAGTTATTTTATACAGAAATCTGCTTAGTTAAGCAATCACGAGGTCAAACAAAGAACCTGTTTCATAAACACAGTAATAGGACTGATTAGATGGGCTACAATTAGACCAGTAAGGCCCGTTATCTGCTCCTGCAGAGATATTACAGAATTTACAGACAGGCCAAGAGAAGAAGGAACTCACTTGTAGCCAACAAATCTGGGAGCGTATTTCTGAATCTGGGTCTTGAATTCCGAGGGGCTGACTGCCTCGCTGCTCGTTGATGTCCACAGTGTCTGGATAAGCTTGGCAAATTCTGCAGGTGGAGACGGAATAAACACCTTTTAGATCTCTCTCTCCAGAGACCAGGCACACTGTGTTACGCACAACTGATTTGCTCATATCTACAAGGGTGAAGGAGGCCTGTGTGCCTATTTCACCTTCCATCAGCGCGGTGTTGGTACGGCTGTTGTTGTTGAGGTCCCGGCGGTGAGAGTTGTGCAGACAGTAGTCGCGAAGCTGTTGAGTGTTACTGAGACACTGGAGAATGGAGTTCATGAAACACTGATGAAAGAGAGAAAGAGGGAGGAGTTACATCATACACACATCTTATTGTTTCACCTCCTAGTCTGCACAGGCCCGCTGGCTGCGTACAGATCCTCTGATCAACAACGAATAAAAATACACTTCTCCTCTAACCCCCACCCTCTTACCCAAAACCCAACTATGTACCAGCTGTTTGCTGAAACAGGTAGTTGCCATGGTATATAATCCAAGCAGAATCATTGACAAAAAACAGCCGCACAAAATGCAGAGTCATAGGAAAGTTTGGGTTATAATAACATGTAGCAGCTGCTGCTCTCTGAAAACTAGTTTTGCAGAGGTTGTGGTTTATCTGCGATGGTTCTTGGACTTTTCCAGTTGTATATATAAGCATCCAAAAACACAAAGGGAAGTCAATCTTCAGGGCTGCCCGTTTCATTGGTCACTTTGTCATGTGGAGAGGAAGTGTGGCCTGCTCTCCACCCTGGAAGCTTGTGAAAACAACACTGGAGTTTCACAAGATGTGTTCAAGGAACGGAGGCCCTAGAGAGGACACCCGCCATGTGAGATGTCAGGTACCAGGCTGATTGCTCTGCTTGGTCCCGTGAAACAGGGACTGACCTTCACCCATGCTGTAGGACGTAGAAATTTCCCACTGATCCCACTATCCTAGTGATCTTACTGGTTCAGTCAACCAGAAATCCCAGTGCCCCAGTAATCCCAGTGGAAGTCTAAGCACCCCTGCTGTGCCTATGTTGTCCTATTTGCACAGGTGCCACATCACCCAGCAGAGACATGGCTGTATTGTGACCATGCTGCACCCTTTCTTGCGCCTACCCCGCATACTCACTGTGTTTCCCAGGTTCCGCAGTCCCACGAGGCCCTGAGCACTCTTTGAGTTCTGCAAGTTAAATGAGAAACAGGACAATCAGCACTGACAGGACACAGACAGCATGTACGTGTGATAAGGCAGTGCCAGAACAAGCAGGAGTTTGCTGGCACTTTGCCCCTGTAGTAGGAACAGACCAGTTCAAGAAGGATGGTATTCCTGGAAGACACAGGCAGCACTGTCTCTGCCAACAGACGTCAAACCAGAAACAGACCGATATACTTTTGACACCTCTGGCCTGAGAAATGAGCCTTTTATGGTCAACACCTGAGGAAACAACTTTTTAATTGGCTTCATTTTCCTTGTGTCTCTTCAGCCATATACATTTTTTCTTTCATATTTTAAATGTTTCAAAGCCAGATGAATGTCTGCTGGTGGAAACACTGAATTGGGATGTGAGCAGTCCTGCCTCTACCCACAGGAAGACTCCTTGCTGCACTGGATCAGCAAACACTACGAAAGGCAGTAGGTGGAATTAAAGACTAGGCAGGAACCGGCAGATTTGTGTAATGTAGACAACTGCAGAATATTTCATGCAAAGATAAACTCTAATCATTCCAGAGAAGAGCAACCAGTTACATTTGAGGGCTCACTTTCTAACTGGCTGTAGGAACTGAACCTTCTTAGTCTTGATCACAGAAGACTACAAAAGGGAACCTGATACAACTATTCAAAAACTTCAAAGTCACTGACAAAGTCCATCCTACGTACTACTTCAGACAATGTAGGAAGTATGTGAAAGGGCATTTATAACTGAGAATAGGAGACACTCACAAGTTGTGGTAGTGTGGAACAAGCTGCCCAGCCTTGCTGTTGAAGCCGATAACCCGGCTTCTTTCAAGAACCAGCAAGAGAAGATCCTGGAATCAATTACCTACTAACTGCAAGACAGACTAGATGGCCTGAAAGGCCCCCCTCTTGTATTTATGTTCTAACTCCACAGTGTTGGTTATGTGAGCATCTTGGAATGGCACTGGCATTTCATTATTATATAAACACTAGACATCTGCCCCCTTCCCACCCGGGAAAGAAAAGTTTAATTAACTGGGGATTATGAGAAAAATTAAAATCCTGCAAATTCCTTGACCCAATGAACAGTGGTATTATTGACTCTGGCAGCCAGAAGCCAGGCAACTCAGACCCCTTGTGCTGAATACAGACATCATCCTACTTGGACTGAGCTCTGACACAGCTCCCTGAACGTGCAGGCATGGATGTTTACAACAGAGCATGCGCACCTTTCCATCAACTGCTGAAAAAGTAAGAGAACTGCCACACGTTCGTAATCCCATCAAAGCTGCTCTATTTTACTGTGCAGGGGTTGGGTTACTCAAACTGCATTATTCAGGAATAAAGGAACAGCCTGTTTATTCTCAGGCTGACAGAGGCTCTGGGGGTATTCTGTGTGCTTGGATTGCTTGCGCAGGTTGTATTATATCGAGACTGCGAGGAGCGGACCTGTTGCGCTGCTCGAGAGCCTCCAGGAAGCACAGCGGGGTGACCGCTTGTGCAAGACGAATGCGGGCCCTCCGGCATCTTCTCTGCACTTGACGTTAGTGCAGAATAGCAGCAGAGGTGGAGGGGAGATGGGGGATAAGCAGATGCTCAAAATAGCACCCTGTCATGCCAGCTACTCCCCACACTGGCCTTGCAGACGTCACTGGAGCCAGAATGATGACTCTGCCAGTTGTCCTGACACCCCACCGCTCCGCCACAGCTCTCTTCACAGGTCGCTATTTTTACAGGCACACATGTAGCAACAGCAGCACGTGGCCGTGTGACAAGCTAGCTATCTGGGCCGGGGGACCAGGGCTGCAGGGAGACAGCCTGAGGTTCCCTAGTGAACTACCGTAAAATATGATGAAGTTGTGATAATGTACTGCACTGGTCTGGAGTCTGGAGGTATGGTAAAGCTTAATGCAAACTGGGAAACCAGGAAAGAGAGGAGTAATATATTCTTTACCATTACTAGAGAAAACTATAAGAGACTGCAGGCACAGGGACATACTCTCCGCTGGAGTGCAGATTGACTGTCAGAGCCACGCTGTTGCAGGAGCCCCTGGGGAGTGCTGTTGATCTGCACAGGCACAGAAGCTGGGGCATGTCCTCTGGCTTCCAACTTCCCCACATCCCAGTCCTTCTCACCCAGGTGTACTGTCTGGATTTCTGCACTCCGCTGCATTTCACTGGCAATCCCATGAAAACTCTTCTTTGCTCCATGGTATCCCAAGAGCACTCAAACATTAAAATGCTTCCCAAGTATCAAGTCACTGAGCACGAATGACACCAACATGGCAACCATGAACTGAGACAAAACCAAATGAGATTAAAGTGTAACAGCAGAATAGCTACACATTTCCTAGCAGTTGTCTTTCACAAGTTTATAACTGGCTGCCATTCCTAACAGGTTACCCAATGCACAGGACACTCTCAAGGAGCAGCCCATTCCAGTCCTACGTTGTGCTGGATGGGTAGATGGACCCAAAGGATCACAGACACAACAGGCGAGCAGCCCTCACACACCTGCACTACATCACTCAGAGCCCCGGTCAGCTCCTCTTGTGTACATGCTTCAAAGGAAGAACTTGCTCGGACTGCTTAGGTAAAAAGATACTGCATACTGGGTGTTAAAAGAAATAGAGGATGAGTTATTGTCAGTTCTGACAACAGCTTGCTTTTGAGAAAAATATTAAAGTTAAATAATAATACACCACTGGTGGTCTGGGTACACTGAACAAGGTGACATGGCTAATTTCGTTTTCTCTGACAAAACTGAGAAAAGGGAAAAAAAATAGGCAATAGTTTAAAAGCTAAGATGATGTACGACTATGAAATAAACAGTAACTAGTCCATTCAGCTGTGTGGAGTGAGCTCAGACATGACATCAAACCCTGACAACTACGCACTTTCACCACTTGTAGTATATCAGAGGTCAAGCTAAATCTTTCAATGTTTTCATACAATAAGTAATCCTCCGCAAGTGATTAATTTGATGCCAACAGAAAACAACCTTTAGTCCCTCTATCAGAGGGTTTCAGTACTGTATTCATGTGGCGAATACTCCGGGACGATCTTGTGAATAGTTACATGCGAGAGGAAGCCATTCAGTCCAGCCTTATTTGGTTATTAATAGCAGGTCGATTTGAGGATCTTCTCCAGTCACTTCTCGAAAGAAGCCAGAGTGTCAACTTCGACAATGTGGCATGGAAACTCATTGCAGACCCCCCCCCAGAACCATACATTCAAGGATATGCCCCTTGTCTCAGCTCCATGTTCACTTGCCTGCAGTTTCTACCTGTATCCTTGGGGTCGTGTTGCACAGCTGGTTCGATATGAACTGCTGGTCATATCTCACTGCTGTTCCAAACTGCACTGCACTGCACTGATCTTCCCCTTCTTGTCAACTGTGATCCACCTTTAAACTGCAGTGTGGCGGAACAGTCAAATGGGGCAGTGGGTGCAGAGCAGTGGCTCTGTGGCTAAGGATCTGCGCCTGTGGCTGGAAGGTTGCCAGTGCAACCCCCTGGGTATAAACGGCTGACCCTGCGCTCCGACCCCAAGCTTCTCTCCCTGTCCGTGTGTCTCCTGGAGAGCAAGTTGAGGTATGCGAAAAGAAATCTCTAATGCAAGAAATTGTATATGGCTAATAATGTGATCTTATCTTGTAATCTTGAGCCTGGCACTTCACTACAACTTCTTCCAATTGCCCATCAGTACAACTGTAAGTGAATTTGGATGAAAGCATTAGCCAAATAAATTAATACATACAACATTGAGTGGTCTGTTCCAGTCTCAGCACCGTGAAGCCAGCGTGTGTTTCCAATCAAGTGGTGCTTCTTACTGAACCGATACCCCTGAGCTATCCCAACACAACATGAAAGGGTCTTATCCCCCTCTTTCCAGAAAACCAGATTACATTGGTGCCACAGCGTCACTCCAAGACGAGGAAGAATAAAATTAAAATGATCACAATACCATGAAAAAACGAGGAGTTTATTAGACGCAGAGAGCTGTGAGTGTCACATGCTGGTACAGCATAGCTGTCATTGTACTCCAGAACCATCTAATACATCAACTCAGTGGTTCAGATTGAGCAAGTGCAGGGGATTTGATGTACTCTAATCCCCCCTGCCCCTCCCCTCTCTCTCAGAGGTGCAGAAGTGGGTCACACTGCAGCGGTGTCCCCAATAGAGAAGAGTGGAAGACTAATCCCGGTTGTATAACAAGGAAATGCTGCCACCTGGATCTGACAGACAAAACAAGGTAATGTGGCAGGGACAGCCATATGGGAAGACCAGAAGACCCAACACTTCAGTCACCTTCTTTCTGAGGAACAGCTGGAAGTCTTGTTCAGAAGTGGGAGACCTAAATTGGCCCAGTTAATAAAATAAGTAGTTCACTTGGGAAATAAGAGAACAGTGGAAAGACCGTTCAGGAACAGCAGGCGATCCCAGAGGAGACATGTTTTTCTACTTGCTGCAGTGCCTGATGAAAGTTACAAATACTTCAGAAATAATACTACCATTTCCACTATTTGCAAGTAGTTTGAAAACCTAAGAAATCAAATTAAAATCAAGTAATAATAAGGACACTACCCACAATGCTGACATTTGAAACGGAGTTAGCAACACCAACCTCCACAGCACCATGATGCCCTGTGGCCACTGTGGAAGACACACAGGAGTCCCGCTGCACCGCATGTCTGGAGAAGGAGTGAGAAACTGTTTGGTTTGGTTGGTTTGACGCTTCACCCAGGGGATAGCATCCCCAACAGCACAGTGTCCTCAGTCACCACAGTGCCGCATTGTTTGGAACTTCTGGTCCAGAGGAAAGAGTGCCCCCACTGGTCCGCCAGCATTACTTAAACCTGGGAGTTCCACAGGGTTCTCCTTTCCCAGTAGTGAACTGACTGGTCCCAGCCCCGGTTGGATTCTGAGATCTGATGGGATGAGGCTACAAGGTGGGAACGGTGCTATGTGCTTGGGTCACGGGTTATTAGGACAAACATCCCG